GGCTGCAGGTAGTAGCTGACGTGGCTATTTCACCCTGGGTCTGCCACAGCGGCACCAGCCACAAGCCTCTTCCCCTGCAGGTCGAGGGCAAGGATCCTTGTTTTGCCCTCCAGGGCCAAGCGCGCAGGATCTGGCGGCTGTGTGGAGCTGTCGAGGTCTCAGGCTGTGCAGGCTTGGTCAGGCTGCCCCTGATGAGGGCCAAGGAGACCAAGGCCCCCTGCACAGCCTGAGACCCCATCATCACCTGAGCCGTGTCCAAGTTACCATCCCTCTGGCCCCGCCAGCGAGGTGCCAAGCAGGAACCCGCAGGACAGCGGCAGGGAATCCCAATGGAGGGGGGAAGCAGCAGAGCAGAGCAGGATGCAGCGAGCGATGGGTGGAGAAGCGTGGCCACCCCTTTGGGTCAGGGGTACCACGTCCACCCGTGCCGCCCTGCTCCTGCTCCTCCCCATGTGGTGAAGCCCAGGCTGACTTTCCCCACTCTGGTGAGGCCCCCACGGCACAGCCCGAGGCCGTGGGCTCTCAGAGCTTCCTCATGAAGCCAAGTCAGGATGCAAATATCACTCGTTCCCATCCAGAAGATGGGTCACAGGCCAGGCCACCACATCCCTACACGTCGCTGGAGTCAGGCAGCAGAGCGGAAACCTTCTCTATCAAGGCAGGGAAGCAATGTGCAAGCTCAGACTGGACCCAAAGCCACAAAACTCCTGCAGCTTTCGTGGGAGGTTAGCACCTGGCCAGCGCCAGGCGCAACTGGCTACGTCAGGATCCTCTTTATCGAGGACCTTGCTCTTGACGCTTGGAGAATGCCCTCTTTAGCCCCTCGGTACAGCAGGTAACAGGCTTTCTTTCTCTTCCCCCGCCTCTGAGGCATCACGTGAGAAGCTATAGCTTCTTCTCGACATCTGGTTACTGTCGACTTGGAAAGCATCTCCTCTTGGGATCAGGCAGCCTAAATCCTGGATCTTAGTATGATGCAGAGCTACCCCAGGGACACAATTGGCCTAGTTGATACTCTTCCCAAATAAGATGATGGAAAACCCTGCACCAACAGACGGAGAGAGGAGCCTGCTTTTCTGGGAGCATGCAGATAGCTTCGCTGGATGTCCGGGAAATCATCTAACAGGAGACACCCTCTGCTTTCCATGCCTCTGTCCCATGCATTTGACTTGCGGGATACTCTATGTCCCAAGCTTTGGCATCGCCAACCTGCTGCTCCTTCTTTGCTCAGGAGACCGGGACGTCGTATCAAGACGTGCTGACGCTACCACAATGGGCTGCTATGTGGAGGCATCGCAGACGTGAACGTTGCGCCGTGTGGGGACAGCAGTTTTATCACCAACTTCGCAAAGGAGCGAGTCAGGGCTGGGAGATCTCCTGGCAAGTGTCCTTGAGGGCAGTGCCACAGTGAAGCTCTTCAGAGACTGGACCCGATGGAGACAGCCAGTGTGCTGTGTGCTTGACCATCCCATAAGGAGGTCCGTGGGAGCCACTGCTGCTCCGTACACCTGCCGCCACCTTCCCAGGTGCCTCCACAGCGTGCATTTAATGGTCTGATTCCAGGCTCCTATCTGGGGGGTTTTGCCCACATTACCGGCACCCACAAGACCAATCGGTGTTGAAACTGCTGCCTTGTCTCGGCGCTTCTGGAGAGCGGGAAGGCTGCTCTTCTAGAGGCAGCTCCACCTGGCTGCAGCTTCCACCTGGTCGCAGCAGCCGTGAGAGCCAGAGAAGAGGACACCAGGGTAATGGTCATTGCAGAAGGGGTTGTGAGCCAGCCCCGTGGTCAGGGCTGATGCCGCCACAGCTTCCCGAAGGCGATCCAGCCGATCTCCTCCCCACGGATGGCCTGCGCTCCACTGCTGGACAAGGCAACCCGTGGAAGAAGTCGACCAGCGAGCCTGGTTTGTGCAGGGTGAATGCTACATTGCGACTTCGCAGTCAACAACTTCCTCCCTGCCCCAAGCACGAATCTGAGGGGGCGAAAGCACCTATGTATACACAAATGAACACTCCACTCCTTCCTTTGAATGTAAGAGGATGATTGTGGTGCAAGGGAAGCGCGTCTGCCACCGGACCGCCCGTTCCCGCCCTTCCCCTTCTCCTTGGCATGAACAGCTGGCGTGTTTGGGGTGGGGAGGCCGAGACACGCCGTCCTCCATCAGGCATGGCTGTGATGCTTTGAGTTGCGGAAGGGTAGGCTGGGACGGCCATGCCCGAGGACAGCGAGGTGTGCCGCTCCTTATCACGTCTGCACAGAAATGACAGCATGCTTGAGCCCACGTGGTGCCTGCTCGGTGACCTGGAGGTACAAGCCGGTTCAGGCTGCCGGTCATCTCAGCCGGCCGCCGGCGGGACCCACGCTGCAGGGTTCACCGAGGGAGGAAGGCGCTAACTGAAGACTGGCTGCCTAGCAAGTGGGCAGGTGCCACGAGCTCCGTTCGCCCCCGAGCTTGGCTGTGCTCTGCAAGCGTGCGGGTACGAGCTGCTCGGGCAAGCCAAGCACAGGAACGGTGACAGACACCTGGAGATGAGTGACAAGGACCTGTAATAGGCCCCGACTCCTTGCCACAGACCTCAGAGCCCCTGCTGTGCTCTCTCGAGACTGCAAGGAAGATGCTCCACCATGCCGGGGGCCACAAAGCTGGTCTCAGCAAGCAGGCTCAAATGGAGAGAAGGGGTCAAGGGGATTGATTTATAGAGGGAAAAATAACATAAATAGCTTGGCTAAATGAAGAACAGGGGGCTGGGGAAGCGGCGCGTGACTGCTGACAGGTGCCGGAGAGGTAGAAATGTCAAGAAGCTTCAGGTGTTTTGGGGGGGCGAGGTGAGATACAGAGAAGCAGTAAGATGAAGCAGTGAATGGCAGGCAAAAGGCTCCAGGGCAGCAGCCACTTCGGACGCTGCAATGTGGACAGATCCAGCACGCCGAAGAACATGCTTCCAGGGACAGGACAAGGCAGCCAGCAAGCGTTCCCCTCTCCTGTTCCTTCACCTGCTGCCTAGGCTATTTATCACAGGTAGGCAGGAAGCAACGAATCCTCCCCGAGGGGCTCGGGTGTCTCCTTCGAAGGCAAAGCCAGACACTTGGGGACTCAAACTGCGGCACTGGCAACTCAGGCTCAGCTGAAGGGTTTTTAACCCAAGCCACAAGACCCCTGTCCTAAGAAACCGTCCCGTTGGGTCCCTGGATTTCCTGTGCCCAGTTCTGCTCTCATCGAGAGGCTGCTCCTAGGTGGTAACTCATGCGTCAGTCCCGCTTGTGCTTGAGCTGGCTCCTCGTGGAAAAAACAAAACGTAGAGGGTCCAAAAGAGTGCCAAGAAATCCACGTGGCCTTTTAACATGGCTCAGCTTTAGCTGTTGCCCCATCGCGAGCTGGTAGCGTTACCTTCCAACTCAACCAAAGACAAGGAAAACCTGTTAGAAGAGCAGCAAAGACCAAAGCTGAACCCTGAACTCTCATCTGGGCGTCTTCCCTTAGGTCCAGAGAGAAGAATCCCACTGCGGCGTGTCAGCTCGGCAGCACCATGTACAAACTACAAATGGCAACAGGTGGAAAAAACCAGGGCCTTGAAGCACCAGGATCTGGGGGAAGAGAACGGCTGGCTAGCCCAGTTGGCATTTGTGCTCAGGATGCACTGAAATTCCCTCTGGATTTCTCTTTTATGAAAGGAGAAAAGAAAGGCTGGCTCGGTCCAGCTTCCTGGGGCTGGTACATTGTATCCCTGAAGAGCTTTTGGTTACAGCAAGAAGGAGAGTAGTGCCTGCTCCCCCCATGGAGCACCGTAATGGATAGGGCCTTTCAGGATGTGATGGCTAACGTCTCAGCCGCCATGCTCCTCCACAGCTCCATGGCAGCGGGCGGTACGGACGTAATGGCATGGCACGCGGATACAAAAATAAGTACAATTGCATGTATGATATGTCCAATGTGTACACTGCATTATATACCCCATGGCTACCTTTGTAGAAAGTTTACTTCATGAGTTCTTCAACCTGCTGCCAACTCTCGCCCTCCAAACAGGACAGAGATCCCCACCCCAAAGCGCCACTGAAGTTCAACCTCAGCCAGATTTAGGATTTCCTGGTTACTGCATCTTTACAGTGGAAGTCCTGAGCAGATGAACGTGCTGATGTCACATCCTATTGGAAATTCCCAGCCCTTCTTTGGGGTCGAACCTTGCATATATTCAGCACTCTGAATGCCTCAAAACCAGCCCAGCAGGAGGTGCGCAAGGCCTCCCATGCACGGGGTGCTGCAGAGGCATACGTGCATCACGGCACCCTTGAGGGAGCAGCAGGGAACTGGCCTGGCATCGAGACCGAGTGAACAGCTGTGCTTGTGTAGACTGGGGGGCTGGCAGAACTGGACACGCGAACCTGTGTAGCTCCAGCGCAGAGCCACAGGAGGAGCTCCCACGCCCCCCACCCATACACTCAATGCCTACACACATCAGGCCTGCCCAGCAGCTTCCTAAGAGGTAACTACATGCTTCCACCCTTTGCTGCTTTTCCCAAGCAATGGCTGCCAGCCACACCAGACAAAGACAGGCCTCAGCACCAGGTTTTCTACAAGGAGGGTGCTGAGCACACCATCATTCACCTGTATGAGATGCCACACCCAAACCTAAGCGCTAGACAGATGAAGGCCAAGGTTGCCCATGGCAGCCAACTGCAAAGGCAGGGCAAGGCAGTCCTGCTTGCCAAGCTCCCTCTCGGGCCAGCAAATGCATTGATGCTGCAACAGGCAACCTTGCAGCTGGGGCTAGAAATGTTCTGATGACACTGACAATACGTTTAAATTATTCACATTGTAGTAAACTTCATTTAAAAAAAAAAAAAAGAGAGAGAAAGAGAGAGAGTCTGAGTTACAAGAGGAATATTGTGTGCAAAACTGAAACCGGCCAGAGGCTCCTAGCGCAATGCTCCTTCTCCTCTGCATAAGCCCCTTTCCCCCCTCAGCACCTCGGACGGTCGTGGTGGCGGCAAAGATGGAACGAAGCCACGGAGGCTGTTGCAAGAAGTCTGAGGAAGGGACCCATATCTTGTCCCCCAGCCCGGGCTCCTTGCTCACACGTGCACGCACACGCCTTCACAGTAAGGGGGCACCAGCCGCCAGCCAAAAGTGCCTGCTGGGGCCAGTGAAGCCACTGCCAAGGCAGGGAGGGAGGAGCAGGTAATCACGCCCCGGTTCATCCCGAGAACCTCTTTCTGAATGAAAGGTCAGGAAGACGGTAGCGAGTGTTGCTGAGGTCCGTAAGGGGGGTGGAAGGGAGAAGGACGCAGCCCCAGGAGAGGGAACTGCCTTGTCTTCTTCCCCTCCCTCCCCCCTGCTGTCTCTCAAGAGGAGTCACGGTCCATGCTGCACCCCAAGGCTTCAATGTCGTTGCTGATGTGAGAGATCATCCGGTCCCACTCATCCTCCTCTGAGGGCACAGACTGGTCGTCTGAGCTGCCAGCGGCGCCGTTGCCATTGGTGGTAGAGTTGGAGGTGGTGCTCATTGTCCGCCTGTACCTCCCAAAGCTGTCCGTGATGATCCCGCGCCCGTCCTTCACGCCGATGGTCTCCAAGAAGTTCTCAAAGTGCTGGCTGTCTTTTTCAGGAATGAACGGTCTGAGGCCTTGCCCCGGAAACAAACCCAAAGGAGGAAATGTTAGTTTCTGAATACGTTTGACATGGAAACCACACCCTGACCTAGGCTACTTGTCTGGAGTGGGGCACATGGAGATGGCCCTGCCTGGAGCAGGGGTTGGACTGGGCACCCTCCTACTGGCCCTGCCTATTCTAGGTCCTAGGATTCTATCCCTCCGTCAAGACCCCCGTGACACATCAGTAAGACTGTCCCAGGCAAGGGCTTCGGGAGCTGGTTGTAGGATCACATGAGTCCAAACAGAACAGGGAATAGGGTCAGGGTCAGAGAACCATAAAATCATAGAAAATAAGGGTTGGAAGAGACCTTAGGAGATCACATCTAGTCCAACCCCCTGCTCCAAGCAGGACCAGCCTCAGCTACATCAACCCAGCCAAGGCTTTGTCTAGTCAGATCTTAAAAACCTCCACAGATGGAGATTCCACCACCTCTCTGGGTAACCTGTTCCAGTGCTTCACCACCATCCTAGTGAGAAAGTTTTTCCTAATATCCAAGCTAAACCTTCCTTGCTGCAGCTTGAGCCCATTGCTCCTTGTCCTGCCATCTGCCCCCACCGAGAACAGTCCAGCTCAATCCTCTTTGCAGCCCCCCTGCAGGGAGGTAAAGGCTGCTATTCAATCCCCCTTCAGTCTTGTCTTCTCCAAACTAAATCCGCCCAGTTCCCTCCATCTCTCCTCATAAGTCTGCAGATGAGCTCCCCTCTGGGCTCACCCTCCAGGTCTGGGGCTCAAATAGTTTCTTTGCTGTTCTGTGTTGGCAACCATGGCCTCTGGAGCACCACTACCCTGTCATGGGGACCCTCACAACCCACTGCCCCCCACCCCCACCATGCCTATCTGGACAGGGTAGTGCACAAACAGGCAGCAAGGCTGAACGTACTCGCTCTGGTGGGATCCCAGGGCCCTCCAGATGCAAGGGGCTGGAGGTGCGTAGAGTACAACTGAGTCAAGTGTCAGGGGTAACTGCTTGGCCCACATGACATGGTGATCTCCAACCTCACCCAATGCCTGGTTCCAGGCAAAGACAGCAGGTAATGGCTGCCCTTTCAGAGCTGCCAGGTCCTGCTGCAGCAGAAAGGGGTGTGCCAGCTCCGTGACTTTCCTTCTTGGCTTTTCTGTGGCCACTAGCTGCCTCTGGCAGCCTGTTCACCAGGATCTGCAGTGCCCCAGCAAGGCAGGGAACTGCTGTAAACTCCTGCCAGCCACAAAATGCATACCCCTCATTACTTGGGCTGTGCACTGCCCATGCATCAGCTTTGTGCTGGCTGGTCCCACCGGACGATGCCACAGACCTGCAGGAACTGCAGGGCCCTGCCCAGAGCTGCTGATAGTATAGATCAGAGGCTCTCAACCTTTTAGGACTCAAGGTCCCCTTCAAAAAAATGCCAGCTCTCAGCTTTCACTTGCTTTGTGACCAAAGAAAAATACTAGAGCAATTCTATTGCAAAGACCTCAGCAAGCCTGCGACAGAACAGTTTCAGCACGTCGGAGTCCTATTTGAAGCCTGGGTGTATCTAGTGCATCACGTTTGCACACCTCAAAGTGCTAATGTGGTGCGATATCCTGTGGCACCCTTGAAAAGACGTCAAGGCACCCCAGGGCACCACGACACTCCAGTTGAAAAGCACCAGTATACGTAGACACCTAAGGCGGAGAAGGGGAGGATAAGAATAATGATGGCATTTGCAGCCAGTCGTGCTCTAGACTCATTGTAGGACAGCTCAAAACTGCTTCAGATCCAAGATGTTTCTAAGCCAGTATCCATCATAGCTGCTGCTCAGCCTCCCCCATAGTAGCTGTCTATTCCTGTATTCGTGGCAGTCTAGTCCTGTAGATCAAGAGCACGCTGGACAGACACTTGGCTGGGATGGTTTAGTCAGGGATACTCCTACCTTGAGCAGGGGGCTGGGTTGACCCCAGGAGGTCCCTTCCAGCCCGACTTGCCTAAGATTCCACACTAAGAGCGTCACTGTTCCCACGCACAAAGAACCTGAGATACATGGGAACCAACAGGGTGGTCAAAAAAGCTGATGACACCAAGAGATACCAGCCAAATCTACCTAAAACCTCAAGGAGGCTGCAACACTGTAGGGATCAGCTCTGAATTAGACCCAGGAATTTTAAGACAATTCCCAGAGCAGCATCTTCAGCCAGGACCAGCTTCTAGGTTCTTTATCTCCTCACAAAGAGCCTGCTTGAAGGTACATCCATTATTCTCATGGATACCGGTGATCCCAGTGAATGATGACATGTCTCCCTGGGCTTTGGAGGGGAATCTGGAGATGTTCCACAGAAAACAGGGAGGCAGCAAAGGGATCTGTACAGACCTGCCAGTCGCCCTCGAAACGACAGCCGACGATGGGCAATGCAAAGTGAGCAGCTTGTCTAGCCTTGTGCCTGCTCGTCCTTCAGGAAGCTGTTCTGAGCGAAGCCATTTGACATCTTAGCCTGCTCTGATAGCCTGCCTCAATCCTCTGGGTACAATCTGATGATCCCGTGAGGTCCCTTCCAGCCCTTAATATCTATGAATCTATGGAGGTGAGGGTGGAGAAGAAACTTCATAGGCCAGCTTCTCACAATGGGCTCTTTCTTTCTCTCCCTTGTACGGGCAGATCCAGTGAGGGAGACAGAAGGGTTTTAGCTAAGATAGCTTTTGTGATAACACACCCTCAGGTCCAGCTGCTCCTCTGTGGATAAGACTGGATCTGTAAGTGTGAACTTACCCCTTACACATATGGTACTACCTACCCATAATGCTGGTGAATGATGCTGGTTACCTCTATCAGAATCGCCCAGTGTCTTTAACAGGTGTCTTATTTGTGGAGCTCTATATAACCAAGTTATGGGAAACTTCCTCTTCTCCCCTCTCCCTTTGGCAGAGCAGAGTTCAGCAGAGCCATCTGATTTTCAGGTAGTTTTGCATCAGGCAGGGTGTAGGCTACTTCCTTTCACCCAAACTCTAAAGCAGTGATTCTCAACCACTGGGGTGCCACGAGAGCCTTTTAACGGTTGCTACACAATACAAGCCTTGTTAGATGAGCAAAAGCCTATGCATGACTCACAAGATAAACCCAGAGGTTTCATCCAGGAACCCCGGGTATCCAATATATTCTGCCCTGCTTGGATTTTCCTGAGTTTTTTTGCAGAACTGCTCTCTCTTTTTCCATTGTCAAACGAGCAGCAAAAGCTAAGAGCTGGCAGGCTTTATTTCAACAAGAAATGCCTCGAGTCTGGAAAGGTTGCTGTTTCCCTTGCTGCTGCCTGTCGTGCTGCATTTGGGGAATAGCACGGGGCCCTCTGGCGACCATGGGTCACGCTAGGAAACCAAGAAGGCCAGAGGAATATTTGTCACTATGGATAATTCACTGAAAGGGTGGAGATCAAACGAGGTTTCTGGTGCCTGTTACTTCTTCATTAAACACGCTGTGCAGCTTTATTGATCATAATGCCATAACAGCATCAGCCTCCAGATGAAAATGCCTGGGAGGAATGCATTCAGCACCGTCTCCGGGAATGTCTGCTGCTGGCTAAGAGCCCGGCTACATACAGCACCATCACAGCTAGCGGGAACCTCTAACTACCAACAGGCAGGACTTTAAAAGAGAAGTTAACGAGAGACGTTCCAAGTCACGAGCTTACGTAGCAGGCAGAGATACAAGGAGGCTGGCTTATGTTTCTTGGAGTACCTTGCTTTAGGCGAAATTAAAACAAACCCGCTTCACAAATGCTGCTTTCCGGACAATGCTGAGACACTGTGGCTCTTCCAAGAGGCAGGCTGGCTGCTGCTTGCCTGATGGGGACTTATTCTGTAAGGCACTTAAGCAATTTATTCTTCCTTGTAATGAGGGGCAGGGATTAGACTCTTAGGGTCCATTTAAGCATTCGTTTACACTAAGTCTATTTAGCCTGAGATAAGAGCCTGCCTTCTAGTGCCAAGAAAATGGCTGGATGCACTCGTGTGAAATCAATGGGAGCTGCAGCAGGCCTGCTGGACTCCATTGCTGCAAGCTCACCCTGTCCCCAGCTGGGTGACAGGCTCCTGAACTGTCTGCACAGCACTTGGTCCCACGGCCCGCACTCATTTCAGTCCCACTGACGCTTAGTCACCTCCCTCGGGGTGCAACACTTCCTCTTCAACATTCAGGCTGGTTTCCGTGAAAATCAAGGTATGCAATCCATGGATAAGCTTTGGCAGGAGGTTTTCAGAGTACTGTGAACTCTTCGGGCATTTTTATTACCCATTTATAATATATTCACAGAACTGGAGTATAACACAGCTGCCCATCGGTCCTCCCCACAACCATCGCCCTATTTTAATTGGCAGCACGTATTTGTAACACTGCTAGTGATCTGGATTCCTGCTGACGGAATTGATGCCGGTGTTTGCAGCAGAGCAACAGCAGGCCTCCAAGAAACGTTGCCCAGACGAGAGCCGTTTGCCAAGTGGAATCTAACCCAGATCGGTAGCTGCTACCTCATTACCACCCAGCAGCTGTTCAGGGACTGCATGAAGTGCATCAGTCCCAAGCCAGATCTCCCCTTTCTGTTGACTGCATCAGCCGTGTCACCATTGGCCCTGGCTTGTGCTCTTCTTTCCAGACAGGTTTCAGAGAAGTCAAAGGTGGAAGTGGCTTGTGGAGAATGAACTCCTTGTTCCCTGGTGCAGGTCAAGGCACGCTCAGAAGGCTGCAGACAAGAACAGAGGCTTCCCAGGCTGCACCTATTCTCTGGGTAGCGGGCTCTGATCTCCAGCATGGCCCATCACTGATATAATAGACTCCTCACACGCACCCGGGAAGGCAAAACTAGGGAGAGCTCAGCCCTGTGGTGAGGGGTACCACAAGGACGGGAATGGAGAACAGGAAAGTGTTAGTCCTTAATGATTGCTGGACATAACCAGAGCTGGTGACAGATGTCTGTCTGTTCTTCTGTGGCTGAGATGTTCTTCCCAACTTCCCCCGTTTGTCCCATTGAAGGTTCGGGACACAGTCATTCCACTGGGTTCTTCGGATAGTAAAGGTAAGCAGGTTTAAGTACATAAGAACATCAGAACTGCTGTGTACTGGGGCAGACCCTATATCAGTCTGGCCCAGTCTCCTATGTCACACCATGGCAGAGAGTGGATGCTTTAAGGGAGAATGAACTGGGTCTGACCAAGGGTTTTTCCACTTGCAGCCTCTGGCCTTGATGGTCTGGGAAGTTCTGATTCAGAAGGTGAATCCCTCACTCCCATGTTCACAAGCTACTGATGCCCCTTTCCTCCAAGAATGTGTCCAGTCCCTTCATGAATCAGCTAAACTCTCAGTTTCCCCCACATCTGGTGGCAATGAGTCCCTAATGATTCGCTGGGTGAAAAAACTTCCTGTGTTTGTTTTAAAATGACTACCTAGTAGTTTCATGTTGTGACCCCTTGTTCTTGTATGGTGAGGGACTGTACATAATAAATCCCTCTCGACTTTCTCTTTCCCATTTAGTATCCTGGAAACCCTTCTCACGTCCTTCCCTCAGATGTCTCCTTTCTAAACTCAGGCCATCAGTGAGGTTGCCTGAATGGCCTGGAAGTGGCAGAGAAGGAGGATACTCTCTAGCACCCAAATCAAATACAAATACACTACAAAAATAGTGACTAAGAGGTAAGAGCTAAAAGCACTCGCTGTTTTAACTGACTTCACTTCTCAATCTTTAGGACAAAGGTAACAAAAATAACTTGGAAAAATAAAAAGATCTGAACAACAGGACAAAAGCTGCCCCCCCTCCTCTTCAGCATTCAAAATCCTTCAATTAGATGTGTGCATTTTTTCTTGCCCACCCAGATCTGACCTATTCCCAAGCAATCCTGCAAATACCCATTCTGATTTATAATGTATTTGAAAATGGGCTTGTCCCAACCCAAGGTGCCACTGTATGTGATTAGACATACTCTCATAATACACGGAACTGACTGCTCTCATCTCAGGCCAGAAAGCTGTTAGCCGCAGACCAACCACTACCCCTTATTACATTCTGCAAACTGAGGCAGGTTCCAATGACAGGGGAAGGTTACCCAAAATTACTCTAAAGCAGGGGTGGGCAAGATGCGGCCCGCGGGCCAGATGCGGCCCACCAGGCCATTCTATCCGGCCTGTGGGGCCCCTAAAAATTTTAGAAAATTAATATTTATCTGCCCCTAGCTGCCTGTCATGTGGCCTTTGATGGCTTGACAAAACTCGATAAGTGGCCCTCTGCTTGATATAATTGCCCGCCCCTGCTCTAAAGCCAGAACAGACTCATAGATCACCTGGTCTGGTGTCCTGTATTAAGGGTCCCCCTTCACCCTGCCTGGTCTGTATACCCAGTTATATACCATTTTATAAAAAAGCAGGTTCACTGCCTAGGCAAACCTGAGGCAGTCTTGCTCTTTCAACCCTCTGCTCTGCCACTGTCTCCATTTGCTCTTAGGCAGAGCCCTGGATGATCCCAGAGCCAGGCAGCTCTTAACAGGAGAGCCTTGCACAAACATGACAAGAGCCCCTTTGGACATGGCTGCCTGTAACTGCAAGGGCCTGGACCCAGGTGCTATCTCCTGGCCCTATGTTCCTAGAGGCTCATCTCAGGATCTGAAAGGATGCTGTCCAGTTACAGTCATCTCCTAAACAAAAAAGGCTGAAAAGTGGCAGCCCTCCACCAGCTCCCACAGAGGCATGCAGATTTACAGGTCTCTCATTAACAGCACAGTCCTAAAATATTCAGACTGAAGCAATGGCTTATTTCTTACTTGTCATTTAGCTGATGAAAACTGCACAGCTTCACCTCCCAGGGACAAGTGGGGCCATGTCTGCAAGGGAATGTCTCGAGGTAAACAAACTCTCAAGGGAGTTTTAGAAACATTTCATGGAAATATTTCTATGACTCCAACCCAGAGGCATGGTGTTGCTGTGAGCTAGAATGAGCAGATATACATCCGGGGACATTTCCCTCTACAAGAAGGCATCAGAACCATTCAGATGTATATCACGGGCCTTGTACGACTTCTCTTGTGGTAGAGACCTGAAAGAACCAAGCTTGATCCCCACCATTTCAGTGAAGGTCTGGGTGGTGGCTGGAGTTATCAGTAGGTGCCTACTGGCTTCTTAAGACCCGTCTGCCTTACGGGGTTGCTGCTGCAATAGCATTGCTGGCAGAGTCCCCTCAGGGGGACACAGCACATAGTGGCAGAAGAGATATTTCCAGTGGGTTTGTTCCATCACCTCCTCTGCAGCCAGAAGTCCCATCCTAGTGGATCCACACAGTTGCTTGTCCAGCAGAGCTATACAGCTAGAGAGTGTGATCTATGCATACGCAGGCTGACATAGCTATGCCAGCCAAACACATAAGGCACAGACCAAGCCTTACTTTGCAGTTCTGATCAAGGGGAAAGACAAGAGAAAGAAGAGCTTTTTTGGATCAGCGAGAACAATTCATCGTTGTTAAGATGACAATTGAAGTACCAAGGAGCACAAAGTGTTTACAAAGCTTTATGTGACCGTTTCAACATATCCTGATCTTAGGAGGGGAAAGGAGTGTCTGTTTCTTTGGGCACCTCCCTCCTACCTTTTTGCATCAACTCAAACCTAATCCTGTGTTTCAACAGCTCTACCAGAAGCAGCCACCCCTGCCCAGGTGCTCAGGATCATACTCCAAGGCCTTTCTTCTTCTCTTTCTTAACTGATCATCAGCTTGCACTTAGTCCAGGTCAGTGGAGAACTCACCTAGTAACAAGAATTTCCTGCTGTCGCCATAGAGCTGTCTCAGGTTGATACAGAACTCGTGGATCGAAGCCCCGTTGCGATACTCGTGGAGAAGCATTGCAAACTGCTGGATCTCTTGGGACGAGAGCTTCGTTCTTAGCTGAGGAGGAGAAGCACAAGTTATGGATCAACCTCACTTCCAGGAGCGGAGAAGCCACTGCTAGCGAGAAGCTGACAATTCAAATGGAGAGACAATCAAAGGGCACTCTACAAACAGGCCATGGGACCTGAACCTCTCACTTGCAGACAGAACACAGGATCTGTCCCTAGCGTACATCTGTAAGCATGTTATGGACCTGAGCGGTGCTTCACAACATATCCTGGTTAGCAAATGCAAAACCCACTGAAAAACCCATTGAACACACTCATGTTTCACCTGGGTAGAAAGCTCAAACTATCAAGTATCCAGGACTGCCTGAGGGAAGACAAGAGATAAAGCCCAGAGAGCAGGGTGGGGTCCTGAGATGCCCACATGTCCTTTCACTGAATCATCGGCATGGCTTTGACTTCTCTGCAACCCAGCAGGCAGCCCTCCCCAGGCTGTGTTTGATAAAACAGCTCTCAAACACCCCACTAGTCCTACTCTGCACATTTCCCAGAAAGGATGGGCCACCTGCAACCCAGTGCAGTGCCCTGACCTGAGAACAGGTGACTGCAAGGACAAAGCAGGAGCTCTCAGAAGGAACCAGGTGTGGGCAGCCCCAGGCAGAAGCCGCCATTGGCATTTTAACCACCTGGTACAGAGGTGGTAACTGCAAAGGCAGTGAGTATTTTCCTCTAAAGCTTGCAGGTGAAAAGTACCTAATGCTCCCAAAGGAGGCTGCTAATTAATAAGCTTGACAAAGTCCATTAAGGAAACTCCTATTAACCCTGTTAATCCAGGGGCTGGCTCCATAATTGTTCTCCAGATGACAACTTAATAGAGCCTTCCCAATCCGGTGGCCCCACTGATGAAGCACTGCACATCACCAGAACCAATGCAGTTCATCTCCAAAGGTTTTAACTGAAAACAGCTTTTGCTCTAAGAAGCCAGACAGGAGACTGTACTCTAGCCACTTACCACCTGGGCCGGCATATGTTCACCTCTCACTTAGGTTCCTAATGGAAATTAGCTCAATGGCCTCTGAACCTAATCTCTACATGACCACAAACTTGTGATATGAGAGGAAACAGAGAGGGGTCCTTCACGGAGTGAACCTGTATGGTTGAATAACTGCCAGAGCTTTTCAGATTCAATGCCTGGGGCTTGGAAATGTTCCCAAGAGTGCTGAGCCAGGCTGGGTCTAGCCTAATGAGATGCAAATATCGCCCCATAGGCAGCAGCCGTGCTTCTGCCCCTGTCGGGATGTTCCTACCGTCATCATGTAGTCCTGCAGCAGCTCCGTCGCCGTGGTGCTCAGCTCACTTTCGCTAACTGTCTTAATGTGTGGAGACGGCTGTGTTGAGAAGGAAGTGGGAGAGTTGCCCCCTGTATCCAAGGACTCTGGGAAGGAACTGTAAGGCAAAGAGATGCATGAGCCCCCTTTAGTACACTGAGTGCAAGCCAGGCTTCACCCTGGGGGTAACTGCAGGGAAACAGAGAGCCTCTGCGGCTTAGAACTGCATTTTCGCTGAGCCCGTGCTCTGGTGTGGAGCGGATCCCCAAAAATCAAGCAGTTTGGGAGTTTTTCAACAGCATAGCTTTCATTGAAAAATCCCAGCTTGTCAAAGCTGAGGCTGTTCATGGGAAAGGGGCTGCCTCAGCAGGTTTCTTGACTCAGACAAAAGGCTTCAGAATCATCACCAAGCCCCATTTGGACATTTTCACAATGGAAAATTGCAGTTTTCTCATTTGAAATGATGCTGATTTCAAAATTTCATTCTAGCCTAGAGGTCAGCAACTTTTTTGGCTGCAGTACCAAAAAGACCCCCACCTCGACCCATGCTTTGATCTGGTGTTCCAGGGGCAAACGGTGGGGGAGCAGCAAAGGGCTCAATCTCTGTTGCTGACGGCAAGTGCATGTGCACCTCCGGGTAGAGGGTGGGGGAGTGGCCAGGGTTGCACTGCCCTGGCCCCTTCCCTGCCGTGGGCCCAGAGGCACATGTGCAGCTGCTGGCAGCCATGGAGCCCAGGACGCACGCAACAGGAGGTGGGCAGGCTGCAAACAGCTGCACTGGTGTCTGAAGCCCCAGCACCATCTCCATGGCGGTGGCAGCTGCGCACACCCCTTGGGGCACATGATGGGGAAGGGGCTGAGGTTGTGCTGCCCCGGGCCCCTTCCCCACTGTGCACCCCAAGGCACACATGCAGTCGCCACTGCCACAGAGCCCACCTGGGGCTCCAGACCCCAGTGCAACTGCTTGCAGCCTCCCGGTTGCCTGCCACAGCTGGCCTGGGCTTTGGGGAGATGCTGCCTGCCATAGAGCCCAGGCTGTTTGCAGCAGACCTTGCAGCCTCCCAGCTACCTGCTACAAGCAACCCTGGCTTGGCAGCAGCTGCCCTAAGCTAACTCCTGTTCTAGCACAACATTTGTATTTGTAAAAGGTTAAAAATGACTGAAATTGAAATAAAATGTACTGAAATGTTCACAGAGTTAGCACTGACCTGACACAATTCTTCTTCATTTCAGTTTTTCAGCCTGTGAAAAGCTTTTCAACATTCTGGCTCGTCGAAGTGGAAAAAAGAATTGCCAAAATGTTGAAAACTTTCAAGGCCCTTTCAACTCTTCTAGCTCAAGAGAAGGGAGATGTGTGTTGTGGACATCTCTGGTATCTTGCAGGACAGTAAATTCACATAAGAACACAAGCAGGCAGATACTGGGGTGCTGCATACTGGCAGCAATGCTGATGTCAAAGTATTTCAGCTGTCATTGCTGAAACCAGCTAGTGTGCAGATTTTAACATATCCTTTTATGCTGTAAACCCCATATCAGGTCTATCTAAATCAACTAGAAGTCACATATGCCAAACTATCTTATACACTGTTCACCATCAACTTACAAAGTGCTTGCTTCTGTTTCGTAAGATTCTTTAATGTCCACTTTTGTAGAAGAGTCATCTGCAAGGAAGAGACTCCAGTCAAGAGATTTAAAGCCACAAATGCCATAGACTTCCTACCCTGCAGGTCACAAACATCCCCAGTGTCTTTAATGAGAGGGTGAAAAGGCATGCTAGACCAAGGGAAAAATGTGAATTCCCAGCTGATTTAAGACAGTATCTGGAGATCTAGAACAGGATACAGAACAGGCCCAGCAGGGAAGCTGAACTGCAAAGGGATGCAGTGCTGTTTTATTACATTGCTGCTGTCGACCAAAAAGAGGAAGACAACAGAGCATGTGTGAAAAAACAGGTGCTACCCACAGTGTTTCTGGTTCCTAGGGTCTTTCAGCAGCACCCTGGCTGAACTGACAATCCCAAACTATATTTGCCAGTAGCAGTCAGCTCTGGATCATTCAACTTCACATGGAGAACAGAGCAGAAAACAAAGAGGGGCTTTGCTCTCCCTGCCTCCCCCAACCCCCGCTGGGACAAAACTCATTAGAGACAGAGGCTCTGGTCAGAGCCACTGGTGTCCCAAAGCTGGGGCCGTTTTGAGTTGCATCGCCTAGCTGTAGTTTGCAATATATCTTTGGGAGCTCCAGCAGTGAGAGAAGTTGCCAGGCAGGCCTATGATTGCTGGAAACTGGGCTGCTATTTGGAACCAGTTTTCCCATCCTAAAAGCTGAAGGGTGAGCTGGGAAATGACATGGCTGTGGGGAGTAGAAGAGTGTGACACAAGGGGTTGGGGCTTGGGTTAGAAGACCAGGGAGCAAGGAGAAGCGCTGCTGTACGTACCACTGTGCAGGGACATGTGCCGCGTGGGTGTTGAGGCCCCATCAAATATTGCTCTGTCTAAGAAGTCGATGGTGGACTCAGTGTAAACAATCTGGAAGACCTGGCTGAGAAGTGAGCAGAGCTCCTCTGCGGTTACCTGAGCAGGGAGCAACAGGTGGGGTCAGACAGGGGCAGCTGCACTGCACTAATCAAAGGGATGGCATTCCCCCAGGACACACAAACATACACTTTAGCCTCTTTAAAAGGGAGGAGGAGCAGCTGCTCAGAGCATAACAGCTGCCAGGCGCTCCCAGTTCCTGTGATCCTGCAAAGACACACGTGAGCTAAATCCCCATCAATGAAGCAGGGTTGTTTTGTACAGCTGTATTGCCACAGAATCAAGCAGCTGTAACAGCTGCATTGCTTGAATCCATTATCCTACCATAGTAATGCAGCTGTTTCACCTGTCTAAACCCTCTACTTGTCCCCCAAAAGAGATGCACCGTGCGTAACTCAGGTGTATTATTACCTGTATGTATAAAGGTATTGCATCACTCTTAGAGAACCCCCACTGTTTCAAAAGGGAGGGATATAGGCTGCTTCTTTTTGCAGAAGGAGCCAACTACCAGGACCAAAAAGGCTAATTTTCTCTAGTTCCTTGGTGCTTGCCATTAGGGGAAGGCCAAAGAAGGAAGGAACCCTGTACCTAACAGCCTTGTTTGCCAAACTAGGGACATTTATAGTTTCATAGTTTGTAGGGTCGGAAGGGACCTGAGCAGATCATCAAGTCCGACCCCCTGCCTGGCAAGGAAAGAGTACTGGGGTCAAACAACCCTGGTGAGGTGTTCATCTAGCCTCCTCTTAAAGAACCCCAGGGTAGGAGCCAGCACCACTTCTCTTGGAAGTTGGTTCCAGGTCCTAGCCGCCCTGACCGTAAAGTCGCGCCTCCTGATATCTAGCCTGAATCTCCCCTCTGCCAGCTTGTGACTGTTATTCCTGGTCACTCCTGGCAGTGCTCGGGGGAACAGAGACTCCCCCAATGCCTGCTGGTCCCCTCTGACTAGTTTGTAACAGGCCACCAGATCCCCCCTCAGCCTTCTCTTGTGGAGGCTGAACAGGTTCAGGTCCCGTAGCCTCTCCTCGTAGG